AAGTCCGACAACCAATGAGTTAAAGTAGACACATTCATCCAGACCAGTAGGAAGTACAGAGTCAGGTGGCCCAGAGAGGGGCTACAAAAAAAAAAGTGGTGGCTTGCTGACCCCAGTTGTTCAAGGCAGCAGCTGACAGACCCTGGTGCTCAGGCAGTGGCTGGCAGACCCAGGGCATGGGGTAGCAACGGGCAGACCCAGCAAAGCGCACAAGGTGGCTAGTTGACCAGGTGGTCATACATTCGCTGGCTGATAAACCAGGTGAAACTGGGGATTGAGACAGACCTCCTAAGCCAGGGCTCCAGCAATGGGAAATAAAGCCTCAAAACACTGATTGCAAACACCTGTGGGGGTTGAGGTGCTGAGAGAGACTCCCAGCCTCACAGGAGAGTTCCTTGGAGAGACTCACAGGGTCCAGAATGTACATAAGCCCACCCTCCCAGGAATCAGTACCAGAGGGGCCCAGTTTTTTGGTGGAAGCGGCAGAAGGGACTGGAATCTGACAGAGGGCGAACCTCTGTACCTTTCCCAACAAGCGCCATTGTTCCCTCTCTGACCCCTGCCCCACAAACAGTGTCACAACACAGTGACTGGATTGACCCACCCTCGTGAACACCTAAGGCTATGCCCCTCACTACGTAACAGGCGCAACAAGACAAAAAAAATGGCCCAAATGGAAGAACAGATCAAAGCTCCAGAAAAAATACAAGATAGGTTGTATAGGTAGCCAACATATCATATGCACAGTACAAAACACTGGTGATCAGGATGCTCACAGATTGGTTGAATTTGGTTGCAAATTAGGTGAAAAAAATGAAGGCTACACTAAGTGAAATAAAGGAAAATGTACAGGGAATCAATAGTGATGGGAAGGAAACTGGGACTCAAATCAATGGAATGGACTAGAAGGAAGAAAGAAACAATCAAACAGAAAAGAACGAAGAAACAAGAATTCAAAACAAATGAGGAGAGGCTTAGAAACCTCCAGGACATCTTTAAACATTCCAACATCCAAATTATAGGGGTACCAGAAGGGAAAGAAGAAGAGCAACAAATTGAAAACTTATTTGAACAAATAATAAAGGAAAACTTCCCCAATCTGGCAAAGGAAAGAGACTTCCAGGAAGTCCAGGAAGCTCAGAGTCCCAAAGAAGTTGGACCCAAGGAGGAACACACCAAGGCACATCAGAGTTACATTATCCAAGATTAAAATGAAGGAGAGCATCCTAGAAGCAGCAAGTGGATAAGGAGACAGTCACCTACAAAGAAGTTCCCATCAAAATGTCAGCTGATTTCTCAAAGGAGACCTTACAGGCAAGAAGGGGCTGGAAAGAAGTATTCCCAGTCATGAAAGGCAAGGACCTACATCCCAGATTGCTCTACCCAGCAAAGCTTTCATTTAGAATGGAAGGGCAGAAAAAGTGCTTCTCAGATAAGGTCAAGTTAAAGGAGTTCATCATCACCACGCCCTTATTATACGAAAAGTTAAAGGGACTTATCTAAGAAAAAAGAAGATAAAAAAACAGGTACAATAAAATGACAGCAAACTCACAATGATTAACAACTACACCTAAAACAAAAACAAACAACTAGAACAGGAACAGAACCACAGAAATGGAGATCACATGGAGGGTTAGTAACAGTGGAGTGGGAGGAAGATAGGAGGGGAAAGGTACAGAGAATAAGTAGCATGTATTGTAGGTAGAAAATAGACAGGGGGAGGGCAAGAATAGTATGGGAAATGTAGAAGTTAAAGAACTTATAAGTATGACCCATGGAACTAAAGGGGGGGAATGTGGGTGGGAGAGGGTGTGCAGGGTGGAGGGGAGTGAAGGGGGGAATAGGATGACTGTAATAGCATAGTAAGTAAAACATTTTTTTAAAAAAAATTTTTTAAAAATAATAATAAACGTCTGCTTTGTGAAAGGCACTGTTAGGGAATGGAGTCCCAGTGCCACACAATGTAGAGTACATTGCCTCCAGGCAAGGCTGGAGGAAGTCCTGCGAGTCTAAGCACTGGGACTCTAAGGCACTTCTCACCACCCCTGGGCCCTGTGGCATCTGCAGCACGCCAGAAGTCACAAGCACCTGTTCTTGAGAGAGAGAGAGAGACAGAGAGACAGAGAGACAGAGAGACAGAGAGACAGGGAGTGAGAGAGAGAAATAATAAATGAAAAGACAAGCCACAAACTGAGATAAAATATTTGTGAAAGACACATCTAATAAAGGACTGTTGTCTAAAGTATACAAAGATCTTTTAAAAACTCAACAATAAGAAAGCAAACACCCTACTTAAAAAAAGGTGGGCTGAAGAACCTTAACAGGCATTTTTATCAAAGACAGTTAGCAAATAAGCAGGTGAAAAGGTGCTCAATGTCATATGTCCTTAGAAAACTGCAACTTAAAACAGCAGTGAGATACCGCTCCCTGTGTTCTGTGAGGTCCACGTCAAAACCCACAGAATGAACAACACCAAGAGTGAACTTAATGTAGAATATGGACTTTAGATAATAATAACAGATTAATATTGGCTCACCAATTGTACCACATTAACATAAGAGGTGACATCCTCTATGATTCCATATACATAACATTCTTGAATTGGCAAAATTACAGACATGAAGAACATATTAATGATGGCCAGGAGTTAAGGGTAGGGAGGTAGTGGGGAGAATTGGGCGCAGCTATAAAAGGGCAACATTGTGGACCCTTGTGGTGATAGAAAGTATACTGCATACACTTGTATATAAAATGGATATTGCATAATATACATTTACATGTATATAACATATACAAATACGTTTGAGGACATCACCCACATAAGTGCTTCTGAAACAGGAAATGATACTGTATGCATTAACTATGCAAAAAGTGCCTTGTTGTACCAGGTGACTGCTCAACAGACTATACATTTAATGTCACTGGGGTCATAGACAAACGTAAATAGTAACAGTGCTAATATTTACTGAGAAGAGACTGTGTACCTGGGATATACATTTTACTTCCTGTGGATTATCTTATTTAACATTTAATGCAACTCTCTGCAAGAAATATTATTACTGTCCCTCTTTCACAAATGAAGAAAGTGACACTGAACTTTATAAAAGTAACAAAAGTCATGGACTTCAGAGCAAGGATTTTTGCACCCAGTCCATCAGGACCCAGCTTTGATGAGCTCTCTCTTTTACTAAAAAATAGGCAAAATGGTAATATTAAGTCGAGGTAGACACAAGTGGTTTTAGGGAGCAGAGAGAAGAATGCTTATTTGTTTCTATATGAATATGCACATTGTTTGCACTTGAATATGTTTACCTGTTCATATATCTAGCCAATCTTGTGATTTATCAAGCATTTTATTATATTCCCTTAGTTTTCTTAAAACTGTGTACACATAGAAACTAAACAGATACTAATGGAAATTTTTGAAAGGGGATGTTTCAAATGTCCAAATGATGCATTCACTATGTCCAGCTGTACTAGTAAGGGAACAAATATAGACAGGTTTTTAAAACAGTCAAATTAGATGACAGTTCATCTATCCATCAGCAAACACTTCTAATACTACTGCTGAGATGCTTTAGAGAGTCAGCCACACAGTCCATCTTATTCGACAGTGGGGCAGATTGATGTGACTTATCTGGACAGCAGCTTGGCCGTGCATTTGTTGTGAAATACATTTACAATCTTTATCTCAGTATTTCCACTGCTGGGAATCTGGCCTAGGGACATAATCAGATGGACAGACAGAAATGTTTTCAGTGTAGAAATGTTTGTCATATTACAGTACTTAAAACACTGGAGACAGTCTACATATCCAGAAATGGAAGAATGGATTAAAAGTTACTGCACACTAAAATATAATATGCCCCATCAAAATCTGTTTTCAAAGGTTGTGTGATGACTTGAGAAAGCAATGGTGGATTGCTCAGTGACAAACACACTCTTAACCTAATATAATGCAAGTAACTTAAGATTTCTATCTGCATATCAAGACTTTGAAGTAAAAAGATAGTGCAGAATGGTTATTTCTGATGCTGGACTAATGATTTATACTTTTCTCCATTATTCATTAGCCATCATATTATCTAGTTTGCATGCAGAATATCTATTACTTTTCCAATTATAAAACATGAAACATCATTATTGAGGGTGATTCTTATGGAAAGTTTCATCTTTCCTTTGTGAAGGTTATTGTCACAAAGCAGACATGTTCCGGCACAACTGTTGGTCCTTCTCCATGTGACACGGGCAAGGGCAGCGGCACTGTTCAATGTGAAGTCAGTGGGCATGAAGCATCCCTTAAAATTCGGAACCCAGATGTGAGCAGGAGTGACAAGTGTTCTTTCTGCTTTACTTTCAAAAAATGTTTTGGGAAAAGAGACCATAGAGGGTTTAGAGCATGTGGTGAACTCAATGGGAGTATTTACTCAGCTCCGAGAGCTAATGAAAATGTCTTCAAAAGGATAGAGAATTGTTTCAATGAGAACATTTTTGCCTATGTACAGGAAGCAATAGAAGGATATATCAATTTAGGAATGCCTCTCAAGTGCCTACCAGGAGGTTCTAAACTTGAAATATCAGTTGGTCAGAGAAAGGGGAACCAGAAGAGAGGTGATCAGATACTACGCCACTATGAACATCCCAGCATCAAGTGTGTTCTTTTTCACATTGTGGCTATTGGGAAGAGGATAAAGACAATTGTTAATGACCTGGCACTTCATGAAAAGGCAAGTACACTTTGTGTCTATGCCTTGAAGGGTGAGACTCTCAGAGAAGCCCTGTGCAAAGATGGCTGATTTCGGTCTGACCTGGATGAATTTGAGTGGAAACTAATAGAAAATCATACCAACATTCATGGAAAACAGTCCACAGTGGAGGAAGTAGCTGGAAAAACTTTAGAACTGGACATTTCTAACAAGTCATCAGTCAGGAATCGTACCCGCCTAAAAATTGAACAGAAGAATGACAATGCCACAGGAGAAATCAGTCCCTACGATGTGATGTTAAGGCAGAATCAGGTCCCCCAGCCAGGGAACGATGGAGAGTCTGAAGGTGTAGAACACGACCAAGAACACGTTCTGCCACCTCGAAGTCTAGAGAATGATTTGGAAGATAAAAAACACCAGCCCATTTCCAGAATCAAAAGGTGTTACAGTGAGAGCAACAGAAAATGTGGGGAACAAAGTTCAGGTGCTTGGGAAAGGCCCCGTCTGCGTATGGAATGTGCAATTAACTGGGATATGCAGGGGGAGGCAGCTCAGCACTGGCTAAAGAACTGCACAGTGTTGAGTGAAGTTATTATAGACCGCAATCCTCATTTTAGTGAGGAAGCACTCTGGATAGAAAGTATTTTGAGGAGGAACAGAAGAGAACCGAACTGCTGCCATCCCAACAATTCAAAATATATAAAAATTCTTTGCCTGAGTAACTAAACATTCTATGTGGTTGCAACCTGTGAACATCTTACTCGACTTAGTAAGTCAGCTGGGTTTGTGAGATGGGATAATAATGGCAACACAGGCAACACTACTTGCTTCGTCTTCAATGATGGTTATATCTTCACTTGTCGACATATTGTACATATGATGGTTGGAGAAGACACACATCCAAGTCTGTAGCCAAATATAATAAGCAAATGTGCAAAAAGTAACCTTCACTTGCAAAGAATTCTGTCCCCCTGCTGAGAAATGGTTTTCCCTTGAATCAGGTGTTGAAGTGTCTGCTGGAGATCTAGATTATGCCATTTTAAAACTAAGAGAAAATGGAAATGGATTTCCTCCAGGACTAGTTGGCCACATTTCCTCTCTGCCACCTAGTGATTTGATTTATATAATCGGTCACCCAGAAGGCCAGAGGAAGGAAATAGATGGGTGTGCTGTGATTCCTCTACAAGAGCGTGAAGGGAGGTACTCCCAGCTCCATCAACATCAGGTGGCGAGACTGCAAGCTGCCACTCAGGATGTTTGCTCCATGTTCACCCCAAGAAGTTTCCCACCAGAGGCTTACAGCACTGACATACTTAATTATGATACTTGCTTTATGACTGGGTTCTCTGGCTCCCCAGTGTTTAATGCAGATGGCAAAGTGGTTGCTCTGCACTCCTTTGGGCAGTTTTATGAAAGTGAGGGTAAGGAGCATGCCTTCATTGAATTTGGCTATTCTATGGATTCAATTCTTTGTGATCTCAAACAGAGGAAGGAGACCTTGTAAAAGTGTTAACTGCAGAGAAATATGAGAACCTCAATGAAGAGAAAAATAACAAACAAGAGTGGTCACTTCGAGATGATCAGATAAAACCCATGGAACATTAGGGAAACATGAGCCCTGGTCAGGCAGCTGAGCTGGCTAAAGTGTCGTCCTGTACACCAAGAGTCTGTGGGTTTGATCCCAAGTCACATGTTGGATTCCTGGTTGTATAACATATGGGGGGCAATGGATTGATGTTTCTCACATCAGTGTTTCTCCCCCCTCCCTTTGCTCCTTCCCTCTCTCCCTTTCCCCATCTGAAATTCAATAAACAGAGAATCATGTGGGGATTAAAAAATGAAAATATGTCAATAATTTAGAGTATCTGGACTGGCTTCTTTAAAGTATACTGAATATGCTTTCTTATCTAGAAAACTTTCAGAGAATCATGTGGATGTGCAGAATATATATTAGAGCTAAAATAAAAACTGATTTTTTTCTGCTCATTGGCTTATTTTTTTATGTGAAACGATCTCAAACCTCACATATAATACTTAGCTTCCTTTTTTTGCATACAAAGAATTTGACACTTGGCATCAGGTGTAGCCACCAGCTTCACCACGAGGATGCAGTCTCCTTCCTGTGGAGTGCAAGGTGCTTAGTGCCAAGGGCACCGGCAAGCACCCCGTGAAGCACATTTCATTTCTAGGGTACGCTCTCGGTCCCCAGAGATGTCGGGCAACTTCCACAGCACCACTCCCTACCACCTCTTGCCTCTCCTTTTTCACGTCTACAGAGTCTACAAGGAGACAATGGCAAGTCCCCTCTTACAGTAACTTGTTCCCTCCCTCTCTGTGAGTATGTGCTGGTACCAGCCTCCTGCACCACTCGAGGAAGATTTAAGGAATAACTGGTACTTGAAAAAACTCAGTTTTCACTTTTTTCTAACTTTTTTCATCCTATTTTTACATTCGTGCTCTTAAGGTTTGCTCTCTGCAACCGCCACCCAGCACCTGGAATGGAGCAGTGACTGTACTTCTCAGTGGGTCACTCACATTAGGTCAAGTTAGGAAAGTTTCCCCTCCGTTCCACCTACATCGTCAACTGTCACGCAGACATGTACTTTTCCCTGAGGTAGGAAAGGAGTCGTCACCGTCCTCACGGAGCAAGTATGTCCTCCCCGCATTTGACCAGCTTTTCAAACACGGCCCCCAGTACCGAAGGGATCTGCCCTGTTCGGGTTCTTCAACCACAAGGTGCTGTCTGAAGCCCCTGGAGGGCGCGCCTTTGGCCGTCGTTTGGGAGATGCCCGACTCCGGAGTCCTCCCTGGGGACCTTCGAGTTCCGCTTCTAGCAACGCGCCCCCCGGACCCCGGGAGCAGGGGCGCGGGGCTCCTCCTCCGGCTGCCAGAGTCCGTGTGCATCGGCCCCTCGGACACGCTGACTCGCTTGCCTGCGGGGAAGTGGGGAGGTGAAGCGGGGGTCCCCAGGTCCCAGCAGACCCCACACCGCACCAGCTGTGGGACCACTTGGTCCCCTGGAAGCGGGTGGGGCGCGGGGCACGGACGGACACCCACGGGACCCGGACAGCTGCCTCTGTCCAGTCCGGGCGGTGTTCCGCAGCGGCCGCCAGGTGGAACCCGGGATGCCTGACCCACCGTCGCCCACCCCGCAGAGGCGGAGGGCAGCCACCGCCCCGCAACAAGCACCCGGGCGCGGCGGGGACCGGCCTCTCGTCCCGCAGCTCCTGAAGCTGGACCCCGGCTTCCCGCTCCGCGCAGCCCCGCACAATCAAAACGCGGGAAAGTCCCGTGTCACCCGGCTCCTCCCGCGCGCCTGCAGCTGGCGGCCGCAGCGGACCGGGAAGGCGGGGAAGGGACAGCGGGTCCGGGTTGCTCCAGGTCTGCCCCGGAAGGCGGCAGCCGGCCGAGCGCCGCGCTCGGGGCCGACTGGGTGGGTGGGATCTGGCGGGAAGCCGAGGACCGCCTCGGGCCCGGACGCGCCTCCCCGCTGACCAGCCGGTTCCCGCCGAGCCACGCGGGCGGGCGCCGCAAGATCGCCAGCTAAAGGCGGGAAGCGCTGCGGCGGCGTCCGGAGCGCGGGATCTTCCACTTCCCGCTGGGCTGTGCATTCGCGAGACAGCCCGCTCAGCGCCGCCGCCGAAGCTCCTGCCGCTCCCAGGGCGGCAGCCACCGGCCAGGTCGAGGGCAGATTCTCGGCTCACGTGAGTGGTTCTTCTGCCTTGGAGTCGGACCTGGAGGTCTTAGGGGCTGGTTGGCCTGGAGGTTTAGGGGGGGTGGGGGGGGGGCGGGGAGGAGGGCAGGACAGGCAGCTTCCCATTATAGAAAGCTCCCCACACCTGGAACGTCACTTGCAGACAGTCCAGGCAGCTGTACCCATAGATGTTTTGTGAGCAGCTGCGGGGTGGGGGGAGGAGGGGGTGTTGCAAGAGCGACCTCCAGGACCGCACTCTAGACCTACTGGGTGGTGATGCTGGAGGGTGAGATCCTGTAGCAAGTCCACAGCGGTTAGGTAATTCGCCGTCGGCACAATCCAAGTTTAATCTGAGCCAAGCTCCTTCCTTTACAAATGAGAAAACTGGCATGCCCCCTGGGGAGAGTCGGGACAGGGTTGTTGGGGAAAAGATATCCCCTGCTTGGTTGTTCATGCTTGTGGGCTGGGGGTGCGGGGGTTCTTCTCTGCTCTTAGGTAGTTTCCAGCATTGCTGCCCTGGCCCTTCTCAGCTGAATACTTGAGGGGAGCCCTCTGCGTGGGACCCAGAGTCCTGTGTCTCCTTGGCATCTCAGCTCTATCTCCTCCAAACAGGAATTCCACCCCCTCTGCCTTGCTGCCCCTCCTTGCATGCTGGCCTGGAACCTCTCAGGGCAGTCACCCCCAGTAACCACAGAGGCATTTCAGCTGGAACTGTCCCTAAGTGCGTGGTGTCCAGTCCCTTGCCAACCAAGGTTCATTTATGTTGCCCATTTTGTCTTGTTTTGTTTCCAGACAGGAGGGTAAGTCCAGTTCCTCTCACTCCAATTTGGCCAGAAATCCAAGGTAATACCTGTTTCAGTGTTCTTGTTCTGTCCAGGTGTCCCTTCTGGGCCTGCTTCTGTTCATTGATTGATTGCTGTCCTCATTAGGGGCAATATATTCCTGCTTCCGTCTAGGCCTGATCAGTTTGGATTGGATCGCAAGCTTGGCTAATTTCATATTAGGGGGCATTGCTGGAGATGCCTCTATTTCTCTCACTGTGCTTCCGCTTTGCTCTCATGCACCGTTACTGTCCTCAGAAACACTTGTGTCCCCCCAAGTCGTTCTTTCCAGGTCTGTCAGGTGGCACCAGAGCAGCCTTTGCTGGAGGGCTGCTTTTGTCTCGCTGGGGAGGCCACACCTTTCTGCACGCTCTGCCTACTAGTCCACGAATGATGGAGTTCTCTGGTGTGACCTTGGGGCACAGAAAGTATTCTCAGGCCTGTGTGAGCCCCAGAATTGTCCTGTGTTTCCCTTTGAGGGGGAGGGGTCCTTCCCCTGGCTTCCAAGAGTGTCATCACAGTCCCGCACTGACAGAGACTTGGCTGCAATTTCTTGGGGAGCCCACCATGGGCCTCCAAGTCTCCATCTCTGTGTCTGGGTAGCTGCTGCTCTCCTCTCCCTCCAGTTCTCTGCCCCACAAATTCGAGCCTCCCAGCCCTCCCAGGACTCTCAGCTTGTCTGCTCAACCCAGGGAGACTGCCAGGCGCTGTTCTGCTGCCCCTGCCAACACATGGACTGGAAACTCTGCCAAAGTCATCTAGTCGACCACAGGGCTTAGCTCGGTTGACTTCCCTCTCTCAGGGGTCAGAGATCATGGTTCTCAGCTGCCTGATGCCCAGCGTTTGAAAGCTGTGTGTCGCTTTTGTGTATCTTGTCTTGCATTGTCGTAGTCATTTGCAGTGGGCGGATCGACCCAGTCCCTGTTTCTTCATCTGGGCCAGTAGTGGACGTGAGTGAGATTCTCTTGGGACTCATCATGAATCCCGTGCAATGTGAAGACAACAAGTCACTCGGTGCCACTGAAAATGACCAGTGCTCCACACCTGAAGTCACAAAGGTATGCCTGCACTTTGCACCTCCTTCCTGGAACAGCCCTCTCACCACAGTGCTGCACTGGGGCCCTGGGAGGGGTCAGTTCATAAAGAATGGCAGTGACAATCCCTTCTTGTGCACTGCCAAATACGTTTGGGGACATCGTCCACAGAAGTGCTTCTGGAAAAGGCAATGATACTGTATGAATTCACCATGCAAAAAAGTGCCTTGTTGTGCCAGGTGACTGACTGCTCAACAGAATATACATTTAATATCATTGAGGTCATAGACAGACGTAGGTAGTAACAGTGCTAATATTTACTGAGAAGAGACTGTGTCCCTGGGATTATGCTTTTCACTTCCTATGGATTATCTTATTTAACATTTAATGCAACCGTCTGCAATAAATATTATTACTCTCCCTCTTTCACAAAAGAAGAAAGTAAAACCCAACTTTATGAAAGTAACAAAAGTCATGGACTTCACAGCAAAGTTTTCTGAATGCAGTCAGTCAGGACCCGGTTTTTGACCGGCCCTCTCTTTTACTGAACAATAAGCAAAATGGTATTATTAAATTGTGGTGGACACAAGTGGTTTTAGGGAGCAGAGAGAAGGAGGCTTATTTGTTTCTATATGAATATGTACCCTTGTTTACACTTGAATATGTTTACCTGTTTGTCTGTCTAGCCAATCTTGTGATTTATCAAGCATTTCATTATATTCCCTTAGTTCTCTTAAAACTGTGTACACATAGAAACTAAACAGATACTTGATGGGAATTTTTGAAAGGGGATGTTTCAAATGTCCAAATGATGCATTCAGTATGTCCAGCTGTACTAGCAAGGGAACAATGTAGACAGACTTAAAAACAGTCCAATTAGATGACAGTTCATCTATCCATCGGCAAACATTTGTAACACTACTACTGCGATGCTTTAGAGAGTCAGCCACACAGTCCATCTTATTCGACAGTGGGGCGGATTGACGTGACTTATGTGGAGAGCATCTTGGCCGGGGATTTGTTGTGAAATACATTTACAATCTTTATCTCGGTATTTCCACTGCTGGGAATCTGGCCTAGGGAAACAATTGGATGGACAGACAGAAATGTTTCCAGTGTAGAAATGTTTGTCATGTTCGAGTAGTTAAACACTGGAGACAGTCTCAATATCCAGCAATGGAAGAATCGAGTAAAAGTTACTGTGCACTAAAATATAATATGCCCCATCAAAATCTGTTTTCAAAGGCTGTCTAACGACTTGAGAAAGCAATGGTGGATTGCTCAGTGACAAACACGCTCTTCGCCTAGTACAATCCAAGGAACTTAAGATTTCTCTCTGCATATCAAGTCTTTGAAGTAAAAAGATAATGCAGAGTGGTTATTTCTGGTGTTGAACTAATGACTGATAGTTTTCTCCATTATTCATCATCCATGGTATTATCCAGTTATTATGCAGAATATCTATTAGTTTTCCAATTATAAAATCGTGAAACATCATTATTAAGGGGGATTCTTATGGAAGGTTTCATCTTTCCTTTGTGAAGGATATTGTCACAAAGCAGACACGTTCCAGCACAACTGTGGGTCCTTCTCCATGTGACACGGGCAAGGGCAGCGGCACCGTTCAATGTGAAGTCGGTGGGCATGAAGCATCCCTTAAAATTCGGAACCCAGACGTGAGCAGGAGTGACAAGTGTTCTTTCCGCTTTACTTTCAAAGAAGGCTCTGGGAAAAGAGACCATAGCATGTTTACAGCGTGTGGTGAACTCAATGAGAGTATCGACTCAGCTCTGAGAGCTAATGAGAATGTCCTCAAAAAGATAGAGAAGTGTTCCAATAAGAACATTTTTGTCTATGGGAAGGAAGCAATAAAAGGATATATCAATTTAGGAATGCCTCTCAAGTGCCTACCAGAAGGTTCTAAGCTTGAAATATCAGTTGGTCAGAGAAAGGGGAACCAGAAGGAAGGTGATCAGATATTACGCCACTATGAAAATCCCAGCATTGAGTGCGTTCTTTTTCACATTGTGGCTATTGGGAAGACGAGAAGGACGATTGTTAGCAACAGGGCCCTTCATGAAATGGGAAGTACACTTTGTGTCTACGCCTTGAAGGGTGAGACTGTCAGAGAAGCCCTGTGCAAAGATGGCCGATTTCGGTCTGACCTGGATGAATTTGAGTGGAAACTCATAGAAAATCATACCAACATTCATGGAAAACAGTCCACGGTGGAGGAAGTAGCCGGAAAAACCTTAGAACTGGACGTTTCTAAAAAGCCACCAGTTAGGAAACGTACCCCCCTAAAAACTAGGCAGAACAATGGAAATGCCACACATGAAATCAGTCCCTACGATGTGATGTTAAGGCAGAATCAGGACCACCAGCCAGAGAACGATGGAGAGTCTGAAGGTGTAGAAGACGACGACCAAGAAAACGTTCTGCCACCTGGAAGTCTAGAGAATGATCTGGAAGGTAAAAAACGCCGGACAATTTCCAGAATGAAACGTTATTACAGTGAGAGCAACAGAAAATGTGGGAAACAAACTTCACATGCTTGGGATAGGCCCCGTCTGCATATGGAACGTGCTATTAACCAGGGTATCCAGGGGGAGGCAGCTCAGCACTGGCTACAGCACTGCACAGTGTTGAGCAATGTTATTATGTGGCGCAATCCTCGTTTCAGTGAAGATGCACGTTGGATGAGAAAGTATTTTGAGGAGGAACAGAAGAGAACCAAACTGCCACCATCTCAACAATTCAAAATATATAAAGAATGCTTTGGCACAGTAACTAAAAATTCTGTTTCAGTTGTAACCCGTGAACGTCATAATCAACTTAGTAAGTCAGTTGGGTTCCTGAGATGGGACAATAATGGCATCAAAGGCAACGCCACTTGCTTCGTCTTCATTGATGGTTATATCTTCACTTGTCGACATGTTGTACACAGGATGGTTGGAGAATACACACCTCCACATCAGTGGCCACATATAATAAGCAAATGTGCAAAAGTAGCCTTCACTTATGAGAAATTCTGTCCCCCTGTTGAGGAATGGTTTTCCCTCGAGCCATGTGTTGACGTGTCTGCTGGAGATCTAGATTATGCCATTTTAAAACTAAGAGCAAATGGAAATGGATTTCCTCCAGGACTAGTTGGCCAAATTTCCTCTCTGCCATCTAGTGGTTTGATTTATATAATTGGTCACCCAGAAGGCCAGACGAAGGAAATAGATGGGTGTGCTGTGATTACTCTACCAGAGCGAGAAGGGAGGTACTCCCAGCTCCATCAACATGGGGTGGCGGGACCACAAGCTGCCACTCATGATGTTTGCTCTATGTTTACCCCAAGAAGTTTCCCACCAGAGGCTTATGTGAATAGAACTGACATGCTTAGTTATGATACTTGCTTTAGGAGTGGGTCCTCTGGCTCCCCAGTGTTTAATGCAGATGGTAAAGTGGTTGCTGTGCACTCCTTTGGGCAGTTTTATAAAAGTGAGGGTAAGGACCATGCCTTTATTGAATTTGGCTATTCTATGGATTCAATTCTTTGTGATGTCAAACAGAGGAAGGAGCCCTTGTATGCACTGTTAACTGGAGAGAAGAAACATGAGAACCTCAATCAAGAGAAAACTAACAAACAAGAGTCATCACTTGGAGATGATCAGATTGAACCCATGGAATATTAGGGAAAAAGTGAGCCCTGGCCAGGTGGCTGAGCTGGTTGAAGTGTCGTCCTGTACACCAAGGAGACTCTGTGGTTTTGACCCCCAGTCAGGGCACATACCTGAGTGGCATGTTGGAGTCCTGGTTGTGTCCCATATGGGAGGCATCAGATGGATGTTTCTCACATCAGTGCTCCTCTCTCCCCCTTCCCTTTGGTTCTTTCTCTCCCTCCCTCTCTCTCTAAAATCCACTAAACATATGATCATGTGCATACTAAAAAAGAACATATGTCAATAATATAGATTATCTGGACTGGCTTCTTTAAAGTATACTGAATATGCTTTCTTATTTAGAAAACTTTTAGAGAATTGTGTGCATGTGCAGAATATATATTGGAGCTGAAATAAACACTGATTTTTTTTCTCATTGGCTTATTTTTCATTTGAAGGGATCTCAAACCTCACATGAAATACTTAGCTTCTTTTCGTATTTTATTTTATTTTACTTTATTTTATTTTATTTTTGCATACAAACAATTTGGCACTTGGCATCAGGTGTAGCCACCAGCTTCACCCCGGGAATCCAGTCTCCTTCCTGGGGCCTGCAAGGTGCTTAGTGCCAAGGGCACAGGCAAGCACCCCGTGAAGCACATTTCATTTCTAGGGTACGCCCTCTGTCCCCAGAGATGTCAGGCAACTTCCACAGCACCACTCCCTACCACCTCTTGCCTCTCTTTTTTCACTTCTACAGAGTCTACAAGGAGACAATCGCAAGTCCCCTCATACAGTAACTTGTTCCCTCCCTCTCTGTGAGTATGTGCTGGTACCAGTCAACTGCACCCCTTGAGGAAGATTTAAGGAATAACTGGGACTTGAAAAAACTCAGTTTTCACTTTTTTTCTAACTTTTTTCATCCTATTTTTACATTCATGCTCTTAAGGTTTGCTCTCTGCAAACCCCACCCAGCACCTGGAATGGAGCAGTGACTGTACTTCTCAGTGGGTCACTCACATTAGGTCAAGTTAGGAAAAGTTTCCCCTCCGTTCCACCTACATCGTCAACTGTCACGCAGACATGTACTTTTCCCTGAGGTAGGAAAGGAGTCGTCACCGTCCTCACGGAGCAAGTATGTCCTCCCCGCATTTGACCAGCTTTTCAAACACGGCCCCCAGTACCGAAGGGATCTGCCCTGTTCGGGTTCTTCAACCACAAGGTGCTGTCTGAAGCCCCTGGAGGGCGCGCCTTTGGCCGTCGTTTGGGAGATGCCCGACTCCGGAGTCCTCCCTGGGGACCTTCGAGTTCCGCTTCTAGCAACGCGCCCCCCGGACCCCGGGAGCAGGGGGCGCGGGGCTCCTCCTCCGGCTGCCAGAGTCCGTGTGCATCGGCCCCTCGGACACGCTGACTCGCTTGCCTGCGGGGAAGTGGGGGAGGTGAAGCGGGGGTCCCCAGGTCCCAGCAGACCCCACACCGCACCAGCTGTGGGACCACTTGGTCCCCTGGAAGCGGGTGGGGCGCGGGGCACGGACGGACACCCACGGGACCCGGACAGCTGCCTCTGTCCAGTCCGGGCGGTGTTCCGCAGCGGCCGCCAGGTGGAACCCGGGATGCCTGACCCACCGTCGCCCACCCCGCAGAGGCGGAGGGCAGCCACCGCCCCGCAACAAGCACCCGGGCGCGGCGGGGACCGGCCTCTCGTCCCGCAGCTCCTGAAGCTGGACCCCGGCTTCCCGCTCCGCGCAGCCCCGCACAATCAAAACGCGGGAAAGTCCCGTGTCACCCGGCTCCTCCCGCGCGCCTGCAGCTGGCGGCCGCAGCGGACCGGGAAGGCGGGGAAGGGACAGCGGGTCCGGGTTGCTCCAGGTCTGCCCCGGAAGGCGGCAGCCGGCCGAGCGCCGCGCTCGGGGCCGACTGGGTGGGTGGGATCTGGCGGGAAGCCGAGGACCGCCTCGGGCCCGGACGCGCCTCCCCGCTGACCAGCCGGTTCCCGCCGAGCCACGCGGGCGGGCGCCGCAAGATCGCCAGCTAAAGGCGGGAAGCGCTGCGGCGGCGTCCGGAGCGCGGGATCTTCCACTTCCCGCTGGGCTGTGCATTCGCGAGACAGCCCGCTCAGCGCCGCCGCCGAAGCTCCTGCCGCTCCCAGGGCGGCAGCCACCGGCCAGGTCGAGGGCAGATTCTCGGCTCACGTGAGTGGTTCTTCTGCCTTGGAGTCGGACCTGGAGGTCTTAGGGGCTGGTTGGCCTGGAGGTTTAGGGGGTGGGGGGCGGGGAGGAGGGCAGGACAGGCAGCTTCCCATTATAGAAAGCTCCCCACACCTGGAACGTCACTTGCAGACAGTCCAGGCAGCTGTTCCCATAGATGTTTTGTGAGCAGCTGCGGGGTGGGGGGAGGAGGGGGTGTTGCAAGAGCGACCTCCAGGACCGCACTCTAGACTTACTGGGTGGTGATGCTGGAGGGTGAGATCCTGTAGCAAGTCCACAGCGGTTAGGTAATTCGCCGCTGGCACAATCCAAGTTTAATCTGAGCCAAGCTCCTTCCTTTACAAATGAGAAAACTGGCATGCCCCCTGGGGGGAGTCGGGACAGGGTTGTTGGGGAAAAGATATCCCCTGCTTGGTTGTTCATGCTTGTGGACTGGGGGTGCGGGGGTTCTTCTCTGCTCTTAGGTAGTTTCCAGCATTGCTGCCCTGGCCCTTCTCAGCTGAATACTTGAGGGGAGCCCTCTGCGTGGGACCCAGAGTCCTGTGTCTCCTTGGCATCTCAGCTCTATCTCCTCCAAACAGGAATTCCACCCCCTCTGCCTTGCTGCCCCTCCTTGCATGCTGGCCTGGAACCTCTCAGGGCAGTCACCCCCAGTAACCACAGAGGCATTTCAGCTGGAACTGTCCCTAAGTGCGTGGTGTCCAGTCCCTTGCCAACCAAGGTTCATTTATGTTGCCCATTTTGTCTTGTTTTGTTTCCAGACAGGAGGGTAAGTCCAGTTCCTCTCACTCCAATTTGGCCAGAAATCCAAGGTAATACCTGTTTCAGTGTTCTTGTTCTGTCCAGGTGTCCCTTCTGGGCCTGCTTCTGTTCATTGATTGATTGCTGTCCTCATTAGGGGCAATATATTCCTGCTTCCGTCTAGGCCTGATCAGTTTGGATTGGATCGCAAGCTTGGCTAATTTCATATTAGGGGGCATTGCTGGAGATGCCTCTATTTCTCTCACTGTGCTTCCGCTTTGCTCTCATGCACCGTTACTGTCCTCAGAAACACTTGTGTCCCCCCAAGTCGTTCTTTCCAGGTCTGTCAGGTGGCACCAGAGCAGCCTTTGCTGGAGGGCTGCTTTTGTCTCGCTGGGGAGGCCACACCTTTCTGCACGCTCTGCCTACTAGTCCACGAATGATGGAGTTCTCTGGTGTGACCTTGGGGCACAGAAAGTATTCTCAGGCCTGTGTGAGCCCCAGAATTGTCCTGTGTTTCCCTTTGAGGGGGAGGGGTCCTTCCCTGGCTTCCCAGAGTGTCATCACAGTCCCGCACTGACAGAGACTTGGCTGCAATTTCTTGGGGAGCCCACCATGGGCCTCCAAGTCTCCATCTCTGTGTCTGGGTAGCTGCTGCTCTCCTCTCCCTCCAGTTCTCTGCCCCACAAATTCGAGCCTCCCAGCCCTCCCAGGACTCTCAGCTTGTCTGCTCAACCCAGGGAGACTGCCAGGCGCTGTTCTGCTGCCCCTGCCAACACATGGACTGGAAACTCTGCCAAAGTCATCTAGTCGACCACAGGGCTTAGCTCGGTTGACTTCCCTCTCTCAGGGGTCAGAGATCATGGTTCTCAGCTGCCTGATGCCCAGCGTTTGAAAGCTGTGTGTCGTTTTGTGTATCTTGTCTTGCATTGTCGTAGTCATTTGCAGTGGGCGGATCGACCCAGTCCCTGTTTCTTCATCTGGGCCAGTAGTGGACGTGAGTGAGATTCTCTTGGGACTCATCATGAATCCCGTGCAATGTGAAGACAACAAGTCACTCGGTGCCACTGAAAATGACCAGTGCTCCACACCTGAAGTCACAAAGGTATGCCTGCACTTTGCACCTCCTTCCTGGAACAGCCCTCTCACCACAGTGCTGCACTGGGGCCCTGGGAGGGGTCAGTTCATAAAGAATGGCAGTGACAATCCCTTCTTGTGCACTGCCAAATACGTTTGGGGACATCGTCCACAGAAGTGCTTCTGGAAAAGGCAATGATACTGTATGAATTCACCATGCAAAAAGTGCCTTGTTGTGCCAGGTGACTGACTGCTCAACAGAATATACATTTAATATCATTGGGGTCATAGACAGACGTAGGTAGTAACAGTGCTAATATTTACTGAGAAGAGACTGTGTCCCTGGGATTATGCTTTTCACTTCCTATGGATTATCTTATTTAACATTTAATGCAACCGTCTGCAATAAATATTATTACTCTCCCTCTTTCACAAAAGAAGAAAGTAAAACCCAACTTTATGAAAGTAACAAAAGTCATGGACTTCACAGCAAAGTTTTCTGAATGCAGTCAGTCAGGACCCGGTTTTTGACCGGCCCTCTCTTTTACTGAACAATAAGCAAAATGGTATTATTAAATCGTGGTGGACACAAGTGGTTTTAGGGAGCAGAGAGAAGGAGGCTTATTTGTTTCTATATGAATATGTACCCTTGTTTACACTTGAATATGTTTACCTGTTTGTCTGTCTAGCCAATCTTGTGATTTATCAAGCATTTCATTATATTCCCTTAGTTCTCTTAAAACTGTGTACACATAGAAACTAAACAGATACTTGATGGGAATTTTTTGAAAGGGGATGTTTCAAATGTCCAAATGATGCATTCAGTATGTCCAGCTGTACTAGCAAGGGAACAATGTAGACAGACTTAAAAACAGTCCAATTAGATGACAGTTCATCTATCCATCGGCAAACATTTGTAACACTACTACTGCGATGCTTTAGAGAGTCAGCCACACAGTCCATCTTATTCGACAGTGGGGCGGATTGACGTGACTTATGTGGAGAGCATCTTGGCCGGGGATTTGTTGTGAAATACATTTACAGTCTTTATCTCAGTATTTCCACTGCTGGGAATCTGGCCTAGGGACATAATCAGATGGACAGACAGAAATGTTTCCAGTGTAGAAATGTTTGTCACGTTAGAGTAGTTAAACACTGGAGACAGTCTCAATAT